CCAACAAGACTTTTGAAAAATGTTGGATCCACCGTCTCTCCATCTTCATCTCTTGACAATTTAATTCCAACTTTCATGGGCGTGTTCACCAATTTACAATCTTCCATCTTGAATTTCTTAAGAATTTTCTTAGCATAGCCTTCTTGGTGAATGAAAATTCCATCCTTCATTTGCTTGACCTCAACGCCAAGATAATAAGCCATGATGCCAATATCTGTCATCTCGAACTCTCGAGCCATAACCTTCTTGAAATCTTCAAACATTTTTGGATTGCTACCTGTGAAGATTAAATCATCCACATACAAGCAAACAAAAAATACATCTCCATTCTCACTTACTTTGGAGTAAAGAGCATGTTCATATGGGCACTTTGAAAAATTATTGTCTTGAAAATATTTGTCAATTCGCTATTCCACGCTCTTGGTGCTTGCTTCAAGCCATATAAAGCCTTCTTCAATTTCAAGACTCTGTTTTCTTGCCCCTTTACAACATAGCCCATGGGTTGTTGAACATACACCTCTTCTTCAAGAAACCCATTCAAGAAAGCCGATTTCACATCCATTTGGTGGATTCTCCAATTGTTCTGGGCTGCCAAAGAAATTAACAATCTAATTGTTTCCAAACGAGCTACGGGTGCAAATACCTCATCATAGTCAATTCCGGGCTTTTGGCAACCAATCTTGCTTTATATTTTTCAACTTTACCATTTGCATTATGCTTTGCTTTATACACCCACTTGACACCAATTGCCTTTTGCTCTTTTGGAAGTATAGCAAGCTCCCATGTGTCATTCTTCTCTATGGATTTAATTTCTTCATCCATAGCATTTCTCCATTTTTTGTCTTGTGCCGCCTCTTCAAATCATACGGGTTCACAATCCGCAAAGAGACAAAAAAGTGTTAGATCACCTAACCTTTCCGTTACCTCATCTATTTCGTCATATATGTCACGAAGACTCCTCATGCGAAGTGGTGGTGTGTCACTTGAACTTGATGATGATGGAGTTGATTGATCTTGAATTGATGGCGGTGGAGGTGATGTTGGTGGAGAAATGGGCTGCTCCATGCCTTCATTTTCTTGCTCCTTATCAGAAATTGAAAAAATATTATAATCTTCATTTGGAGTGTTCCAATCCCATGTGGCTCCCTCTTCGAATTCAACATCTCTACTAATGACAATCTTCCCATTGCTTGGATTGTACAACTTGTAGCCTTTGGAATTTGCATCATAGCCAATGAACACCATTTTTTCATTTTTGTTGTCTAACTTGGTCCTCCTTTCATCCGGCACGTGCACATGGGCAATGTTCCCAAAAACCCGCAAATGAGAGACACTTGGCTTTCTTCCGCTCCATGTTTCTTGTGGTGTTTTGTTTTGCACACTTCTAGTAGGACACCGATTGGACAAGTACACCGCACAATCAACCGCTTCAGCCCAAAATTCTTTAGGCATTTCCTTACTTTTCAACATGCTTCGAGCCATATTGAGAATGGTTCTATTCTTCCTTTCTGCAACTCCATTTTGTTGGGGCAATCTCGGAACCGTTAAAGGATGGTGAATTCCATTTTCTTCACAAAATTTTTTGAAATTATTTGATGTGAATTCACCACCTCTATCGGATCGAAGAGCCTTTACATCATAGCCACTTTGTTTTTCAACAAGTGCTCTAAATTTTTTAAAAATTTCACACACCTCCGATTTTTGTTTAAGAAAATACACCCATGTTTTTCGGCTAAAATCATCAATGAATAATAAAAAATAATTATTCTTACCAAATGATGATGGAGAAATTGGACCACAAACATCCGAATGGATAAGTTGTAGTGGCGCCGTAGCTCTTGTGGTAGCTTCTTTAGGAAAACATTTCCTTGATTGCTTTCCAACGAGACATCCTTCACATAATTGATTTGGATTGCCAATGAAAGGCAATCCCTTCACCATCTTCTTTTTGGCCAACAACTCTAATCCTCCAAAATTCAAGTGCCCAAATCTCAAGTGCCAAAGCCAAGTTAAATCATTAACACAAGCCTTCAAACATTTAGCCTCGTCGGCTTGAATATTTAGCAAAAACATCCGGTTCTTTGTCATTGGAACCTTGGCAATCAAATTACCCAATGGGTCTCTTATCGAAAGACTACAATCCTTCATGGATATATTGTAGCCTTTTTCTAAGAGTTGTCCCAAACTCAAAATATTGTTCTTCATATTAGGCACATAATAAACATTAGAGATAAATTGATGATGCCCATTCCTCAAACGAATCAATATTTTACCTTTCCCTCTTACCGGAATTTGTGATAAGTCTCCAAATGTTACCTTGTCATTTATTGATTCATCAATATCAACGAACTTCTCTTTGCTACCACACATATGGTTGCTAGCACCGGTGTCAAGATACCACACATCTTCTTGATCACTCCTTTCACATTTGTATGCTAACAACAAAGTAGGCTCCACTTCTTCATCAACATAATTCGCCTTTTCTTCAACATCGTTAGCAACATTTCTACATTCCGAAGCATAATGACCATACTTTTGACAATTATAATATTGAATTTGAGACTTATCATACCTCCTTCCATATGACCTTGAGTAATTTCCTCTACCACGACCTCTTATTTGTTGTGAGTCATGGATTTTTTCTTCATTGTTGGTTGTGTGTTGACCGCTTCTTTCTCCTCTTCCACGGCCTCTTCCTCTTCCTCTTCCTCAGCCACGTGCATTTCCACGTCCTCGGCCCCTTTGATTTCCTCCATGTTTTTCGTCTCTTTCGTTCAACGAAAACTTTGTTTGTAGCACTTGCTCCAATGCTTCTTGTTTCTTCACCACCTTTTCTTCATGAGCTTGCAACGAACCCATGAGTTGATCAACAGTCATGGAATCCAAATCCTTTGACTCTTCAATGGCTACAACAATGTAGTTGAATTTGGAATCCAACGACCGAAGGATCTTTTCAACGACCCTTGTATCAGTCATGGTGGTTTCGCCATATCTCCTTAGTTGATTTACAATAGCCAGGACCCTCGAAAAATAATCTGAAATTGATTCAGATTCCTTCATATGCAATGCTTTAAATTCACCCCGTAACGTTTGGAGGCGAACCTTCTTCACTTTATCAACTCTTTGGAAGGAATTTTGAAGAATCTCCCATAGTTGCTTTGCATTTTCTACACTAGCAACTCTTTGTAGCATTCCATCATCCAAACATTGATGGATGGTCATCACCGCCTTTTGGTCCTTCTTTCTCATGGCTTGTAAAACATCTTTTTCGGCTTGAGACAAAGTTGCCTCATCTTCTGGCTCATCATAACCTTTGGAAACAACTTCCCACACATCTTGTGCTCCTAAAATTGCCTTCATACGGATACACCAATTTTCATAGTTATCTTTGGTGAATCGAGGCATTTGAAATGGAACCGAATTGTTTGCCATTTCTTCTCTCTCTCACAAACTAGCTCTGATACCACTTTGTTGGAAATAGTGGCCTAGTTACACACACAACACTATACTATTTGGAAGAGAATAGAAATGGAGGAAAATACTTTTTATTTCACTTGATAGAAAATGAGTACAATGCATGGGTTTATATAGGCTTCAAAACATAAATGTAAATGAAACTTAAAACCCCACTAACATATCATTTAGTAGGCAAAACTCCCACTAACCCACTAACATGACCATTTAGTAGGCAAAACTCCCACTAACCCACTAACATGACCATTTACTAGTTGTAACTCTCATGCCTCCCACTAACTCCAATAAAAAACTCACATAAATATAAAACACCAAATAAAATAAAGTTTAATTTCTAACACTGCTTGCCTTCTCCGGTGAAAACTATTTTGAACGATTCCCTTATTTATTAGCAACCTTTCTGTTGCGGATTTTGAAGACGAAGTCAAGGTACCTTTTTGTTGCGGATTTAGGTTGAATGAATCAGTCGCGATCAACGGCTGTTGCCATGAACGTCGACCCAAATTTCTTGAATTTCCTAAAAACGATTTTTTGGGTTTCTGCCGTTGGTCCCTGCCGGAGCTCGGCGATCCAACACATCTTCGCGCGAGGATCAACTCAGCTTGTGGGGGAATTTTACTCCGGCGAGGGCAAGTGTTTTACCTGTGTGTCATAAGGGCTAATTTTGTCCTTTTAAAAATTTTTTGACCCCTCACGTGACTTAAGTGCTCTCATTTTTTAACCTGTACGTTAACATTTGCATTAAATGAAATAGTACAGAGAATTAAATGTCTTTGTCATAGTTTAGGGATTTTGTGAGGAAGAGAAGAAAGATCAGGTTTAATGCAGTTTATTTTTTATTTTATGATATTTTGAGCTAATTTTTAGGTAGTGAGTCAATTTTAATATTACTATTATTAATTGCTCCTATTCCCTATTATTTTTTTAAAGAATAACACTTTGCGTCAAATCTTATTTTAGTATATTCCTTCATCTTACAAAATATTAGTAGGGACACAAATATATAAATCTGTTAACCTATTACTCCGCTTATTGAAATGAAGTAACATTCACATTTCTATATTTTTACTCTACTTGAAAATTTTAATAAATAAATTGACAAAATTATCAGAAGTGAGCAAAAGTACTTTTTGAAATATTTTTCGATTGTTTTTTTTTTTTTTTTTTTTTTTTTTTTTTTGGGTTTTTCAAATATTGGTAAAGCGGCAATTATGTCATGCTCTTGAGGAAAAAAGAAGGTGGGATGCTGGTATATATTTTTTAAAAAATAAATTTTGGAGACTCAAATTTTTAATCTTTCACTTTGAAAGATAGTAGAGATATATTAGGTTAAACAATATTTGATCTACATAATTATTACGGCATAACTATAATGAATTTTTATTTTTATTTTTTTATAATGAAATATATTTCATGATAGGATTGGACCATTTGAGACACAATAAAAATTTTAATAATTGAAAATTATATATTTTCTTATTTATATATAAATAATAAAGTGTAGCTGAAAAATGAATTGTATATGTAATTACTTTAGTCTTTAGGGGTGCTGCTGCAAGTGACTAGAAAATGAATGTTCCTTCCGGTGGCTGAAAAAAAGTGGGAATGGCGGAGGGGGCATCGTGGTCGTGCGTCTTCTGTCAAATCGCCCGCTCTTCCACCTCTACAACTCTCCTCCACACCGTCCGATTTACCTCTCTTTCTCTCTCTGTGTATATATATATATAATTATATATAGTTATATCTTTTTTTTTATTTATGAAATTCTTTATTTTCGTCTTCTGATTTAAGTTGATGATATACGATACAGGATGAGAAAGTTGTTGCTTTTCAAGACATCAACCCTTCTGCATTCAGGTTCCAATCTGTACTTCTTCACTTCATTTCAATTTTATCTTACAGTCACTTTTGTTGAAGGACATTTTCTATTGGGATTATTATTCAATGTGTTCCATCAAGTTCGTTGTTATATATCAATACTTAGGTGTTTATTTAATTATGTTAGATTTTGAAATATTCTATTCAATCGAATCGATTATGTTCGTTATATGAAAAAAATCCAGTATATGTATATGTATGCCATTTCAAATCGGATTGTTTCAAAGATTTTAGGGTTTTATTAATTAAATGTGAGGAAGCTTCCTCAGGATCGAAAAACATTTACAAAATGCGATTGGGATCGATTTAGAATATGGAACAAGAAGTAAAACAAATTGAGGATGAGTAGAGTATATTAATTTCTCAGATAAGCTAAACACAAGGCACAGAATAGACCTGATCTATTAGATGATAAACTTTACTCATCATCCGGGAATTTTTGGCCATATTGTGTGACCCTTTTCTTGGAAGTTATACCTTCCCTCTCCAAACAATCTATGGAAGAAACAAGATCAACAAGAAATTAATACTACCAATCAATACCTACGATCATGACATCAAAGTAAGATGGAAAATTATTTTCAAGAGAGGAAAATGAGAATGGGGCATGGGTCTTGTCAAATTATAACTTGAGGTTGCAAAAGAACATTAACGAACAGAGACAAGTGTTACCTCACAACAAAGAGAAACCCATATCTCATAACTCACTAAAAATGTCCGGACAAACTTTCAAGCTTAAATTGGAGAATCCTGGCTTGAAACCCCAACTAGAAATAAGAGAACTCCTTTTTAGAGAGTAGAAGAAATAAAGAGAATTAGCCACTTGAAAGAGATATTCTGAAACATGTCGAAAATGTGTGTATTTGAACAGATGAGTGACAAAAATCTTTGTCCACTAAATATGAGGGTTAAACTGAGTGTGCCATGAAATTGAATCATTTTATGCGTTTCATGTAAGATTTGAACTTGTACATTTGTTTCTATGAGGAATTACCAGGCTTTCACTATTGTTTGTGATTGTGGCCACTTTTGCTGCCCTGTTTTATACAAATGACATATTTAAACTCCAAGCATACCCTGATTGTCTCCATATATGTACATGTTGAATTGGATACTTTGATAGGCATTACTTGGTAATTCCTGTAGAGCACATTTCAACTGTCCGAGACCTCAAGAGGAGAACTGAAGACTTCTCTTTGGGTAAGGAAAATAGTAATAATGGCTATTAATACTAGTTCTGAACGCGAGTTGGAATCTTCGCTCTATTATTCTCCTTATTTTTTATTGGTGTCTAATTTTCGAACTTTCCTTCTTATCCAGTAAGTCACATGTTAAGTGTGGGGCAAACTCTACTGCACAGAGATGCACCTCAGTCCAATCAGTATAGGTACTGCTTCTCAAACATAAACATGTTTAATCTCACTTCTTTATACCTTTGAATATTTACTTCATGGTGTGCCGAATTAGATTGTTTAGAATTTGTTTTATTTACTCGGATTGCTTCAATAATTGGTTGCCCAAGATCTATGATATTAGTGATAGTTCATTGTTTGATGTGATTGTAGTTCTTGGGCCTCTTAAGTCTAGTTTATGTGTATGTTAAACCTTTACTAATACTTGATAAATTACATATCTGTAATAATAAAGAATGAATTTTGTTTTTGGGAAACAAAATTGATTGTTCTAACTACAGTTACTTGAATAATTTTTGAAAAATTATTTGTTAGTTATTGAAATAGAGATATAAATTGAGATTGAAAAATAATTGTATCATTTATCTTGCATTGCATGTAAATTTTACTGAGACGCAGTTTGTGTATGCAATCTTCTTCTGGTCTTTTTTTAGATTTGGCTTTCATCGACCTCCTTTCAACAGTGTTAACCATCTCCACCTTCACTGTTTGGCACTGCCATTTACACCCAGGTTAGTTATTTGGTGTGTGCTTGTTGCCCATATGCTTGAATTTTGAACTGGTATTAATTGTCTCATAGCTGAATCATCCCTTGGAAATTGCACAAATCCCTGCTTTAATTCTCGAGAACTTAAAACAGATGGAAACATGTAAAATACTTGCCTTTGGGACCGCTCGGTGGATTTATCGAAGCTGAGAAACTTTTGGAGAGGATAAAGCCATTGGCAGCTATCTCATCTTAAGCGTGATTTTATCCAATACTCGGTCGTTGGACTCTATTAGATATCATTTGTTGATTGTAACTTATATATAATCACTATGGTAATATATGCAAATGCTTTTGTTAAAGATCTCAGGCTTTCCTAATCCCTCTAAATAGGAATTCTAGTGTGTTTTGTTTATGCAATATATGAATTCCTTTTTGTTTTGCATGTCAATCATTTATATGGGGATAGCTGCTCAACTATGAATCTTCGTGACAATTTGCATAATTTTTTTGTTGGTACTCACACATACATGCCTCTATTGAGGCTCGAACATCTGACCTCTCTTTGGGAAGTAGGTGTCTAGTACCGCTAGGTCACTGACGCGTTGGTGACAATTTGCATAATCTACACTGTTAATATTCGTCTTCAGTACATGATCTTATTCTGCATTTCTTTGAGGATTGATCCACAATACACAACAGTTTAGAGTAACATATATATGATGATTCAAAATAGGCCCTATGAGGTTTAATATTAGTATTTATTCTTGTAAAACTACTTAATGAAGTTCTGATGAAAGCTTCTTCGCTTTGAAGCAATAATTCTTCTGCTTAAGCCTTTTAAGGTGCCCCATGGAAGTAGGATCTTTCGGTTTTGTGTTCCGTTACATACGAAAACTCCTCTCCTCTAGAGCAGAGTCAAGAGCTACCGGTTTTATGTAAAAAAAAGAAGAAGAAAATGATAATGATTTAACAACAAACTTTATATAAAAAAAATATATATGTTATAGGAAATAAGACTGCAATATTACTCTGAAGGTTTCATTTCAAATTGCTACATCTGCTGGAGTACATTTTATATTTAGTTGGCTTGTCAAGCATGTGGTTTGCCTTTTAGCATTACAATTTTGCTAAAAAGACTCAACTGCAAGCACTCAATAGGAAATTGAACCGCATAATTTCATCAGACGTCAAAAATGATTTCCCCAATGTACGTGACCACGCACTCTAATTAAATATAGAAGAGACAAAACTGATTGAATTTAAATACTACCCAGGTAAATTTTTTCGGATTTCAATTTTAAAGCACCAATTTTATTACCGAATCCAAGACAGGACACTTGGTGGAAGGTCCTTTACGGTGCGTTGCAGTGACTCCAGTGAGGATCGAACGACAAACAGCTTATGTGCCATTCTTGCTGCTTTGTACATTTATCATAATTAAACAGATTCTATTGAATAGCAAAGTCATTGTAGCACTGTAGTCTTACTGCTTTGTACTTTTATCATTTGCTTCGCACATTTATCATAATTAAACAGATTCTATTGAATAGCAGTGTCATTGTAGCACTGTAATTTAGGTGGTGGTTTGACATTCAAAAGGAATGGTGGGATCAACTGTTTTATATATTTGCTAGTGAAATGTTATTCGAGTGGTTGGGTTGCTCTTTATGTTCGAGAATTATTTAAAAAAATAAAATAAAATAAAATAAAAATAAAAATAAAAATAAAAACTGTTGGCATTGTGTAAATAACTAATATGTAGTGTAGAAAGTTGCATAAGCAAATATGTGGGCACTGCGAAGGATTTGTGTAACGAGACATGATATTTGAGCATGTATATGATGAATATGAAATATGTTACATAAATGTTGGTTGGACATGCATATGGATCTGATCATTCAAATTTAATACATATATAGTATTTTTTTGTTTTTCATTGCAAAGGCCAAGTCATCAATGGTGGTATAGAAACAAAAGTCAAGCCAGAAAAAGGCATACAAAATTTGAAGTAATACAAAAAAAAAAAAAAAAAAATTGTTGAACTGGTTCCAGATTTATTGAGAGATAGAGAGTCAAAGTTTTGCAACAGAACCCACTAAGGGAGAAACGCAGTAACAGGAGTGACTCAAAGGCCTGGCAATCATTAAGGCAACATCTCCAAAGTGACATCTACAAGGCATCACCAACTGGGGAAAGACTATTCAAAACCCGCACAAGATCAAATCAAGAAGAAAAGATCAAATTGAGTCGGGAAAAACAAAATCGTCTTAGATCAGGGATTTAACCAGAGAGAAAAAAACAAATCCACCCATACTAGCCTGAAACACACCAATCATGAGCACATCTAGCCAAAACTGAGAAGATCTACCCGAACAAAATTAATTAAAAGAGTTTATATTAGATGTACATGGTCTTACTTTCATACGAAACAATTATTTTCGCTTTCAAACCCTGACTTTAAAATTAGAATAAAAAAAAATTATCATATTATTATCTATAAAAATCTATTATTGTATACATTTTTGTTAAATATTATTTCAAAGCAATTGAATCATGATGCTAATACACTCAATATTATATAAATCGCCGGGACTATTTAAAAATACAAATATTTGAATCATGATGTTACTACACTCAATATTATAAAAAACGCCATTTAATCTTGAATAAAAGAGGACTACTTCAAAATACAAATATTTGTGTCCATGTGTTATCGGACAATAGCCATCGGATTCGCAATGAGGTATTAAATACTCCATTGTAAAACATTTTACGTAAAAAAATATAAAAGATAAAAGAGAAATTTCTCCATTCCTTATGTTGTGTTAGATAATACAAAATTAATTTAAACCTTGAATATAATCTTGAATTTCATTTAATACATGCTACAAAGTTAACATCAGGGCTGCATGATATATATAATTTTCATGTCTTCTTTTTAATTTAAATTCTTAAAATTATTTTAACAAAAAAGCTTAAGCACTCATGTATATATATATATCCATATTTTTTTTCTATCTGGATCCAATGCTGTAGTCGCACCCTAAGTTATATAAAGCCAAATGAGAGCTAATTTGAAAGTGAGAGTGAAAGAATTAAGTCATAAACAGTAAAAATTTGAACGAGATCGTACTCGCTCTGAACAAGAAAGAGACACTTATTAAAAAAGATTGTGTGATTTAGCTGCACCACCTGCTTAATCAATTTGGACATGAATAACGGACACTTTGTGTGATATTTGATAAAAAAATATATGATACTAATAATAATAAAAAAAACATACGAGTGTATACATCATATGTATTCATTTGTATAGATGATGATACTGGGCGACCGTAAACTGTTGAGAGTTTTTGGTGCTTGTTGAAAGCTAAGAGAACAAACGAAAAAACAATCGTGACAATGGACTGTCTACTTTTCGCGGTTCCTTGTTATTCAAACGATCCCAAAATTCGAATTCGTCGATGGACGCAAAGCATAGCATTCGATAATCGATACCCCAAACATTGCTTCCAGTTTCATCCTCATTCAACTACTTTTTCTCTCTCCAAATCTATCAGAAAGCATTAATGGGTACATACTTTTTCTCTGTCTGTGTTCAAAGAAATTCGCCTTTATTTCACTTCTTAGTATCTTTGATTCTTCGTACACTGAAAACAATTAGGTATTTCTATTATTGTATTTTGTTTCAAGCTTATTCGATTACTTAATTCTCGAATGGGTCACTTCTCTCTTTGCATTTAAACCCTTTTTCATATGCTGTCGTGCTGTTATTCGGTTTTTTCTGTAACCTATCTAATCAATGTTGGTTTGTTGGGTATCAAATGTTGATTGTTTTTGCCCATTTTGAATTGGGTGTTTGTTTTCCTCCGTAGTCTGTCCTCTTTGATTTTCACCCTTATCTCTGAATTTTGATTAATAATTCTATTGTCTTTCTGCCCTCAAATTCTAGTCTGTGTCTTGATTTCAAATGGGTTTGTGTTGATTATAGACTAGATTTATTTTTTCTCAAATCTGTTCCTATTGTCATTATATGTGAAAGGGTTTTGCACAATGCAATTGCTTTGTGTTACATTATTCTATTTTGTTACTGGTTTCACCAAATTCAGTTAATCTATATTTATATTTTCTTTACAAATTCTTCTATTGTTCTTGCTTGCACGCCAACTTGTTTGTGATTCTATACATTGAATTCGACTGAATAATCTGACGGAAGTCTTTAAAAATCTTGTTTATGGTCATTCCAAGGGTGTATAATTTCAAAGTGGGACATATACTATTGAATTCCTTAAGTAAAGGAGAGTTCATATGTTATTTTTCCTCACTTGATAATTTTGTTAAACACACATGCATAATTCAAAGGAGAAATTTACGGAAATAGATATATCAGAGGGTGCTGGTGGGAGCAAACAGTCTTCAAGCTTCGAGGAACCTCAGTCTACTAAAAAGAAGGATAAATCTATCCACCCACCCATTGAAAGCCATTGGCATTTACCTCTTCAAGAAGATTCCAATCGATTCTCCTGGTCAAATTTTAGGCTCATGTCAATCTTATCTTACCCATTCAAGTTTCGGGATTCAATGAAGAAAACCCGAAGGAGCAGAAGCTTGCAAGTAGTTCTTGAAGGAGCTCATGATCCAAAAGATGAACAAATTGTTGAGTCCTTCCGTGAATTGCTTTTTATTGAGCATCCACAGCCAATCAAGCAGAATGATTATCACACGCTCTTACGGTATATTTTTCTGCTATAACATCATGAAAACAGCCATTCATCTCCTTTCAAAATACAGCAAAGCAGTTTCTGTTAAGTTCATTAAGTTCTTTATACCAGCACTGTTAGTGTTCTATATCTTGAAGTGTAGATACGAAGTACTATTCTGCGTGTCTTGGTTTGCAAACATATTGTATGATGATGTTCTGATTTCAGATTTCTACGAATGAGGGATTTTGATTTAACAAATGCAAAAGAGATGTTTCTAAAGTATCTTAAGTGGCGAGAGGAGTTTGGCGTTGACGCAATTCCAAAGGTGAACTCATATTATCAACCCATGGTAGTTCGTCTTTGGAACTATTTTGATGCTTGTGCACAAAATGCACATTGTAGTTTCTGTCCTTTTGGTTCTTCTATGCAAACTCTATTGCCTGTTTGGATCTAGGATATTAAATTTAAACATGACTACAAATTGCTGTGGCAGGGAGAGACAAGGAGTAAAGGATCTTTTGTTTGTAAAGTGGTGATGTCAAAACTTGAATTATGCTTTTAGCTCTGTTTGGATGCATCATGATAATGAATAACAATTTATCAATGCATCCAGGCGATGCCTAAATGAATAAAACAAGTTAGTTTTCTTACCTTACTGCTCTGAAAACATTAGCGCAAATTAATGATACACAATTACATACTCTAAAACATATGAAATAAATAAATTCTTAATTATTAGAGCTCTTGTTGTATATATCTAATTTGTCGTATATATCTAATTACCAACTATAAGGAAACAAGAAAGAAAATATACTAAGGAATTAATAGTGAAAGTAGATTTTAAAATGTACTTTTAACATTCTTACAACTAAGGTTAATCTGTTAGAGAGGGTGTAATTTTAATATTTAAATCCTCTAACATGCCCTCTCACGCGTGACTTTCTTTTGGTCCAACAAGTGTTTTTCAATTTTAATTATCAGGTGATGGTGAGGTTTAAACTCAGGACCTTGCCTGCTTTGATACCATATTAATCACCATCTACTCTAAAAACTTAAGCTGTTAGAGTGGGTGTAACTTTAATATTTAAATTCTCTGACACAACATATTATTGAGGCAATGGGAAGAGAATATTCAACATGCATTGATGAAACATTATGACGGCAGATTGTAATCTAAGTGAAGTTATGAAACTAAATAGATACGAAAAGTAAAAAATAATTCATTAGCTGAACCAGATGGGTGGGAAAGGTCCCGTTGAATCGAGTTGATTAATTAATTAATTTTTTTTTTTGTTATTTATTTCTATATATATTCACTTATGCACCATTTATGTTATACGATATGTGTATACTTACTCTTTTATTGTTTCATTTAACTATATCTTGTACATGTTAATTAGATGCTTGATACTTGATGTAAATGTGTCCAACCTTAGAATTCTTCGTTTGAAAGGTTAAATAAATCAGATTAATTAATATGGACCATTTGACCATTTGACTCCTGTTTCATCTGTGTCCAGAGTTATTAATGAGTAAATCTACAATAATGCTTGTGACTTGGTCACACATATTGAAAACTTGTGGATCTGTTTTTCTGGATGATGTTTTATTTTTTCTTCCCTTTGCAAAATCTAGTGACTTTGCTGCTCTAATGCTTATTATTTGTTTATTTCCACCCAAATTGGTCTGTCCTAATTTATTTTGCTGTCTTGTTGGCGCTACTTCTGAATATTAATGAAATTCATTTGTTTGTAATATACTGCAGGAATTTAAGTTTGAAGAGTGGAGAGAGGTTAAGAAATGTTATCCTCATGGATTTCATGGAGTTGATAGATATGGTAGACCGCTATATATAGAAAGGATTGGTATGGTAGATCTTAATGCCTTCCTACAGATAACTACTATTGATAGATTCGTGAAGTATCACGTGTCTGAACAAGAGAAAACATTAAACTTGAGATACCCTGCATGTTCAATCACAGCCAAAAAGCATATAGCTTCCACCACGAGCATATTTGATGTGAAGGATGTGGTGAGCCTCTGCGTTTGTTTCTTTCCAACTCTTAGACTTATGTTGAAAATAAAACCATGATGTTTTTACTTATCATGTTATTTATGATCTTGCTTTAACAAAAGCAGTGGAGTATATTCAAGTTCATGTTTCTTTAGCCATCTCAAATGAACCGTATGCATGGAAATGGGGAGAAGGAAAATGTCCATGTGTGTCGGTCGCGTGATTGGGTATTATTTTTAGATGGGTTTGGATGAAATATGATTCTAATACTATTTGATTTGGAAAATCGGATTTCTCATAATCACAGTTCTTTTCTTTTTTTTTCCCCTGTAAATTTATAGATTAGGGGTTATTAATATTCTGTCATTGTTTGCTATCCAGGTTAGTCATTTTCTTGGTTATGGAATTTTTTTTAACTCTTTTAAATGCTCGGAATTAGTCAAGTATAAATTGTTAGACTATCAGTTGCTCCAAAAATTTAAGCTGTTAAGAAATGAGTCTAACGTGCACATGATTACGGAGAGACTAGAAAATCCCTCACCTGTGATCCCATGGCACGTAGACAGACAAAACAGAACAAAGTGCAAACTGGGACACCGAACGAGGAAATATATACACAAAAGGTGAGATTAGAACTCATTCAAAAGTTCTGGTAGCATGTTATACTATCAGTCACCCAAAAGAACTTGGTATTCTATACCTGTCTTTAACCAACTACTGCTTTGGTTTCTACCTCCAACTGGTAACTTCCATCATCACTAGCAAGGACAAAATTCAGGGATCTCAACATTCTATAACTTGTCTCTCTAATTGGTAGATATATCTATCCTCAAACAGAAATTATTTATGAGCAGATTTCAACATGTGAAGGAATGTTCAGCTACAACCTATACAAGAAGTTGCAACCGAACATTCCTTCACATGGAGACTCAAAAGATTGCTCCAATTTATTTTTTAGTGATCAATTAGTTATTGATTGCTTGATGGAAAGTTTTCAATTATAACCAATCTATCTTATTTGTGTAGGGACTTTCTAATTTCTCAAAGCCTGCAAGATATCTCTTTATGGAGATTCAAAAGATTGACAGCAATTATTACCCTGAGGTACGTGGAATGTCATTATTCATGCTTTTCCAATACTGTGGGTCCATCAAGAAATATAGATTGAGGAGAATGCTGTGAGCAAAGGTCTGAAAAAACCTTTGTTTAACACAGATGGAACTCCATGTAAAAGGGCATCAACATTAGTGATGTTCTAGTCATGTAAAACCAGAGTGAGTTTAATTGGTAGGTACCTTTATTTAGAAAATTAGGATGCATTTGCCTCGTAGGAAACTGATGACCAGTTACTCAACAAGTTCTGGAAATAAAAAATATGGTGTTGCTTGTGACAATATTAAGGCTCTTTTAGTACATTAGATACACAATCTTAGATCTTTAATAGTAAGATGTACTATTGAAGGATACGTGGAAAGTATAAAGAGATCATAGCTTCCAAGAAGCTTCCACGCCTTAAACTTACTCGTGAAAACAAACGAATATTGAAATGATATTTAAAAAAATGAATATAGGAAAACTTCCTTATCAATTTGATTAGTAAAGGTATTCTCCTTATGATTGTTTAAGCTGGTTGCAAAGGCTCTTGACTTTCTATGTTAGAGTAATGTATTAAAATTTTGGCATTGATATATTTGTAGACTCTACATCGACTTTTTATTATTAATGCTGGATCTGGGTTTAGAGCCCTCTGGAAAGCAATCAGGGCTTTTCTTGATCAACGCACATTAACAAAGATCCAAGTAAGCATCTATTCTTGTTGTTTTCTTGTCAGCATCAGCTTTTTAATTTGAAATCTCAAGGCTACAATTCCAGGTGCTGGGAAGCAACTATCGAAGTAACCTGGTTGAAGTTATTGATCCAAGGTATCATTGACTACTTCATATCTATGTATATGTGTATAAATAAATGAATGCTACTCAAGATCCTTTTAATTTTTTCACTATGAGGTGATTGCGAGTAAATGTGCATGTACGTTTGGTTGTAATGATGTATGGATCTTTTTATGCATGTGGATGGCTCTATTGAGAATTTCGGACTACTAATTGTTCATTTGCACAGTAATTTGCCAAGCTTCCTGGGTGGAAATTGCACATGTTCTGACTATGGTGGTTGCTTATTGAGTGACAAAGGACCTTGGAATGATCCAGAAATTACGGATATGCTTGGGGTGAAATCTCAATGTCAATGCATCATGATTTTTTTTTTTTAACCATTCACCTGCGATTGATTGACTTCATTTCATATATGGTTGAGAAGGATATCATCTCTGTTTCTTTCAGGCATTGGGTGAAACTGAAGAAGAAAATTATAACGGAGAAGGGAATGGTTTGGATTCTAAAGGAGACTTGGATTATGAAACAGTAAGCAACCTTAGATCTTACAAGGAATCCTAGATTTCCTTTTTCGTGTCATTTCAGTTTACCCAAAAAGATGCCTTAAGGACTTAAAAATCTTCAATGCCGCAACCTTTCTGCACATAAATGTTTATCCTTTTGAAATTCTTATGATTTATTGACGGACATAAAGCTACCATATTGATAATCAGGGACTTAATTTCCACACATTTTTTTTTTTTTTTTTGGGGTCCCCCATGAGCATGCTACTATTGATGCTTTTGTAATCATCATCTGGAACTAATGTTATTTATTATTATTTTGTCTCAATAACTTGTAAGAGCATGCACCACGGTACCACCTAGTCTGCGGATGAAATTTCTGGACTTCAGAAAAATTAGAACCTCTGTCTAAGGGTTGTCATGAACAGAGTGTTTAGATTTTTTTGGCAGGTTGCATATTAACCTTGGATATTACTGAATAACCATGATTCCTCACAATAGTTAACCATCAATTATTTTGCTTCTAGAAACATTGTGTTTTCAAAATTCTTGAGGGAAACAATCTTTTGACATACCAGGCAAATGCCATGTACTTGTACCAACTTATAATTATAGGGTCCTGACTTTATTCCATGTAGGGAAGCCTCCGACTCAAGGATGGCTACGACATAACTGCAGAAAAAGATGATATCCGGCAATGTATGGAAACAAAAGATGATAAGACCGTGTCTCCAAAAATGCAGGCATTAGAAGCTGCACTTAAAGATGCCAAGAGAGTGAGTTCTGCTTAGAAATGTGCCTCTTATTTCTAGCAATCTAATTTCAATGGATTATATATTGATAAGTTTTGTGTCACAGAAAATCCAGGCATTGGAAGTTCTGCTTGAGGAAACCAGGGTGGTGAGTGTGAAAAATAGATTTGCTGCTTATTATTATTGGTCATCTATGTCAGATGACACTGTTCTAATTTCTTTATTTCCATTCAGGCCTTACAAGGAGTTGCACAGTATATAGAAGATCTGAAAAAATAAAGTTACTGGAGAGGAGAACGCCGACTGAATTACTAAATTGATGCTGCTTACTTAACCCTTTCTCTTTCATGTTTTTGAATATCGAAAATGTTGGGGTATTGACAATCAGTCAAGGAGCTGTTATTTTTATTTGAAAATGAAGAGAAGTTGAGTGCACTCTGAATTTTTTTGAGTATTTAAAGAGCCCATTATACTAAGTCAATAATGCAAATTTCTTGGGCAAGTTATTCAATAAGAATGCAAATTTCTACTTCCAGTGAGATAAAAAACCATTTTGGGTTTAAAAAGCACATTTTTTTTTTTTGAGTGCACTCTGAAGAGCATTGTTTTACAGACTCATGCTTTTCTTAATTCAGGATAATGATTGGTTTTCTTCTTTGTTTCTCTTCTGGTTCAACACGAGAGATTCTGGAAATGGATGAAATACAGGGAATTCTTGCTGCAGGGAAGTCAAAGTGTTTCTTCATTTGGGCCATTGTCCAAGAAATAGACTGGGTTTATCAGTCTTATTATGTCAATTTGGCTATCTACATTTGAAACCCCTGATACGAGTTTCGTGCAATGGTTTTACTTTTTATTTTATGTACTCGCATCCGACTTTTTGAAGCATATGATAAAATTAACTTTTTTTAATTTATGAAATAGTATCGAGTAACAATATGGTGTCTAAGACTTTTCGGATATGTCTGATTGTCCGACTCCAAATCATTTTTGACCTTTCCACAAATCATTTTTGACCTTTTCAGTCTTTTCCAGGACTCCAAATTATTTTTAATAAAATTATTACTGTATAATCAAGGGACGAACAACTGTATTATAAATCCAATTGGAACTTGATGTAGGCCCAAATAAAGTTAGGGAAGGCTTCAGCCTGAGCCAACCTTACCTTGCCAACCTAGTCCACTGATTTTTCGGACAGGCCTGTTTGATCGGATTGGGCCCACAAAGCCCACCCTACCGCCCCCGGTAAATCAGTTAGAATGACCACTGAACACCTCCTCCCCTCTCTCTCTTCTCCACACTTTCTCTCTCTCTCTAAACCCATCCAATCTATTCTCCCCCAACAAAACCCTAATTCACACCAGTAACAACCACAACCAGCCATCGATCTCTCAAAATGTCGATGTCGAAGGGATCGACAATGCTCCAGCTGAGTAACTAACTACAAGAAAGCACAAAGTAACCTTATAGCCCTAAATCATGAAACGGTCTCTGCTGCTGAAAAATGTCTGCAACTACACACGCAGTCTAATTTTCACTCCTCCTCCAACATTCAAACCAACCCCTGGTATCCATACACTACACTTTTCCCTCCCTTCTTCAGTTTCCCCAAAGATCAGGTTTTTCTCCTCCGAAAATGATTCGGACCCAAAACCTCCTCCTGAAACGAGCTTGGTGGAAAGCCAAAAGAAAGAAGTCCCTGGTGATGTTGGTGATGTCAGCAACAAAGGTACTCCAAGACAGAAATAATTAGAATTTTTAAAGTTTGAATCATATGTCATTTGATATTGAACATTCTATTGAGTTCAGAACATTGTTATTGGGCTTGAAGATTTTTTCTGTAATTAGTTTGATTATGAGGTTTTCAAATTTTGGCTTATTGTAAATTGTTATCTAATTGCTAAAGAAAGAATTAGTTGAATTTTCAATTTATAAGTTAAGTTATTTAGAAAAATATATGAATTATGATATATCTTATGGGTAAATTTCATCAAAATACAAAAGATGGTTCACCCATGGGTAGAAGTGTATATACAGAGTCACAGACATTTCTCAGCAGAGTGTGCGTGTCTCCTAGCTGAAAACTCTATAAAGAATCAATGAACAGAGAACACGCTGTTATTGAGAAAAAGTTGGAAGCTACAAGATGTATACGCAAAATACTTTAATACAATCTTATTATACAATCTCCAGGATATTATACAATCTTATTAGTGTTTCTAGGGGTATGTCCCTAGTGTTCTTCCTTCTCTAGTAGCGGGAAAGCTTTGAGGTTTTAATCCTCGTTTGTAATTGTATCTTAATTTTTTATCTATAAAATTTCCATCATTTAGGGAAAAAAAAAAAAAAAAAAAAAAACAATTGTATCATCAACAAATAGGAAATTAGAAGAGAGTGACATTTTTTGTTTGTAAAGATATTAAATTTGTTTAATTATTGAGTATTTTGGGTTGAACTATTTGCAGTTTAGTCTGTATACTGCAATACTGCTCGTAAACTGTCTGAAATTGTGAGATGCCGGTGTCCTATTTTAATTATTTGAACGTTAATTCATAATTTATTTGGTTGCAGAGCTGAAAACGATGGTAGAGAAGTACTTCGAAGGTGGTGACGAAGAGATGCTCCCATCAATCCTTGAAGCGGTTTTGAAGAGGAAGTTGTCTGGAAAGCACGAGGACACAGATGATGAGTTATTGGAAGAGCTTCAGATGAAGCCACTGGATGATGTTAAGAATGAAGAATTTGAATCGGATTTTGAGGAGGCACATGAGACCGATGAAGAGATTGAAAATTTGTATAATGCTAAGGAAATTGTGATGAAGAGAATGGCGGAGGATGAATACTTCAACATGGATGACAAGAAGTGGGACGAGATGATTAAGGAGGCAACTAACCATGGGTTTCTTAGGGATACAAGGGAGTGCGAGGAGGTTCTAGAGGACATGCTTAGCTGGGACAAGCTTCTCCCAGGTATACTTCTATATGCTGCTTGCAGTTACATATTTGTAATTTTAAACAATTCAATAAAAGAATGTAATGTAACTTAGTGTTGTCATCAACTGATTTATGGTATTGGTGTGGCATTAAGTATAGCCAATTGAATGATTTTATTCATCTGGTTACACATTCATATTTTAATTTCTTAAACAATTGGGTATTTCTCTTTGTTTTCTTTCATGGACTGGAATTTTGAAACATGGTTTTTTAGATTTTGTGGGTTTGCTTTAAAGTTTTTCTTTGAATCTTTGGTGTCTATATCTTTTTCTCTCTTGCATGATTTGTGCTATTCTTTTTGTTTGTTGCCTCCGCAATGGACTTTCTTTTCTAGTAGTGAAGTGCCTGCCACGTCATGTAACGTGTATCAGTGTTGCATATCTAATGTTAAATCATTTACTAATTATCTATTTATATTTGCAAATTTCTAGAGCAATGAAACTACTTAATAAGGTTCTATACAATTATTGCAAGAATCTTAGATTCTTAACGGGGAGTGAGAAAAGGATGTGCTTAAAGATTTAAGTGATGAAAACTTACATAAATATCAGGGTAACCCATCTTTATTAAAAAGTCTTTCCTATAAAAGACGCATCTTGCAAGTCCACAACAAATGATCTGTCCATAATTTCCAGTAAGCTTGCTTCCAATCCATTATCTCAGTTTTAGGTTTTCTACTTCCATCTATCAAGTTTACTCTATTACTTGCACCTTACACTGGTTACTATGCTTTGAGGAATCTAGATTAAACATGCTTGACAAGTTATTTTTTTCAATTTTCACTAGGCACCTTAATAAATGATCTTAACTAACTGAATGTTTTTGCCTGGACTCTACAGGACATTGAGCAATGTCACGAAATGAAAATTTAATTCTTTACTCATGTTATCAGCTTTATACAATTTCAATAGCTTGTTTTACTTTTCATACCATTTGTTAGTTTTCAAGATGATATACTAATCTATGTTGATATTCTGAAGAAAACTAAATGACTTTTTTTTCTTCTCATTGGTATAATTATCTACCTAACTTGAGGGCTTGCTGAGTTGAAAAATAAGTTTGGCCATACCCCCAAAACAATGAGAGACTGTTTAGTGTAAGTGCTGGTCTGATAATTAATTTAACCACACTAAGCTAACATATATTGCATGCTTTACTTTTCACGTCCTTATGGGACATTTATGGATTTGATATTTTATCAATGTCATCTACGACCAATTATGAACATTACTGCATCTTCTCCTCTAGACTTTCTGGTTCTTTAAGATAGGATCTGCTCATAATTATATATCAGCATTTTGCTCAGATGAACCGTAAATTGACGGGACTTCACTTCAGCCAAGTAATAAGGATTTTCTTGAAACATTTTCTATTTTTCTCTTCAAATTTTCTTTCATAGAAGAATACGAGCACATGGTACTTTTTGATACAAGCATTTTCATTATATTGACGTGATGCTCAGACCTATAAATCTTTGAAAACACTGAACTATGCACTCAAAATTTGATTAGCAAGTCTGTATCCAGGGACTGACACAAAAAGGTGCCCCCACTGGTTTTTTTCTAATTGCTATCATACCGCCCATATATTCTGTAAATTTTAAATATGCCCCCCACTAAAAATACAAAAAAATCCAACCATAAAAATATGCCACCTCTAAAAATAATTTTTGGCTCTAACTTAATCACTCTTTCTATTACTGTCATGTTAAGTTGTTTTATGCCATTATAGATATGAAAATGCAACAGCTAAATATACATTTTATTGAAACGAATATTGAGTTGTGGCTCTTGTATGATATGTTGGTGCCTGGATGATTCATTCTCTACTTCTGAGAAGTAAATACTAATTTTCTTGCTCAAATTTATCCAAAAAAAAAAAAAATCTTCCGTTGCTATCATGATCAGTTGATGATTTTACTGTGGATGAACATTCTAATAGCATGTTTGAAGGATTAAAAGGAATTGATAGTCTTACAAAAAAATAGTTGAAAAAAAAAAATACAAGGTGCATTTGTTACTTTTAGTTGCTTGTGACATTAAAATTATACTCAATAAAATTATCAATGAATGTTAAAATACTTTTATTTATATATTATGATCTTAAAAAAAAAAAATATCTTGTTTTTGTTTAAGGTCCCCCCCCCCCCCCCCCCTTCAGATAATTTTCTAGGTCCATCACCATCTGTATCAATCATGGGGTTTTCCTTTTCGCACTGTTTAAGCACGGAAATCATCTCTCTTGAGAATCTCTAGCATGAGACATGTAGGTAATTATTAATGAATATAAGAACTTTTCCACCACTGATAAACATTACACCCCAACTACATTGCATATTTGGAGATGGGCAGAAGTACAATTTGAGATCTTTTACGCAGTCCAATGCTACGAGGTGTCGGCTTTCCTATCTTCTTGTAGTTATAATTACTAATTTCTTTAGCTACATTGAATCATATCTTTGATACTTCTGCATAGTCAATTTGTAAGTATATGTATATTCTTTTGTTTTGTCTTGATGGGAGTAATTAAGTGGGTTGGGATTGATAGAGATATTTTTAATATGATGTAGTGTAGTGTCATTAAGTTTTGTGTTGATCTTCTGCAAATACAATTATACCGGCTGTTTCAATGTTTATGACATCATAGTGGTGCATATATTTTTCCCTCTTTTCATGTGTTGATTTTTCTTTGAATGGAATGTTTTCAGATGACATTAAGCAGAAGGTGGAGAAGAAGTTCAATGAAATAGGTGATATGGTTGAAAGAGGGGAGCTTGAACCTGAGGACGGTTATGCACTCTTCAAGGAGTTTGAGGATAACATGGTCATTGAATGTGCTAAGTTGATGGAGGCTGATGGGCCCCCGCAGTTTGAGAATGCTGTGCCTGACAAGAAGAAGGACGTGGATGACCCACCAGGTGAGGGGCCAATTCTTAGGTGGCAAACACGGGTGGTCTTTGCCCCTGGTGGTGATGCATGGCACCCAAAAAATAGAAAAGTTAAATTGGCTGTTACTGTGAAAGAGCTTGGGCTTTCTAAACATCAATTTCGCCGTATGAGAGAATTGGTTGGAAAGCGGTACTATCCAGGGAAAGATGAGCTTACAATCACCAGCGAGAGGTAAGCTCAAAATATGATTATATATATATATATTTTCTAATATACAAAAATGACTAATAGCTAATAATCTTTCTTGAATTTTATTGTTGTCCTGACAAACCTGTAGTTACGGTGCTTTATGAGATTCAGATACACCTAGCTGAATCTTCTTTGAGCTCAAAATTTGGTAATTTGTCTGAGATTCAGTATTTTGTGAATTGGATTATCATTCATCTTTGTAAAAGTTTGTTAGATCTTGTTGCCCAGTTATCTAATTATTGGTTCACTCACATCTCTTAGAAATTCATAATTATGGCAAATGAATAGCTAAAAAGTGAACTAGAAAATGGAAGAAACATCTTGACAAAGTACGAGAAGAATATGAAGAAGATGGAATTTTCTGGGAAAAAAAAATGTAGTTGATGGACAAAAGGAAAAGAGAGGAGGAGCATGGATGGTTAAGTCATGAATTTTTTAAGTAGTTCACTGCCTTTTATTCCCACTTTTACTGTGTCTTGTTGACTCCATGCAATGGGCATGATTATGTATTATAAAATATTCCTACTTCAATTCTTGCGAGTAACGGGTCATCTTTTCTATAATGATAATAGAGCTCACCCTACTTCCTCTTTCTATCAACTACAAATTTGAACTCTGCATCCGCTACAATCATGTGCTCATAAAATGTATTGTTTGATTATTTGTACCTTTTAGGTTTGAACATCGGGAGGAGAATAGGAAAGATTGTCTTAGGACTCTATTTTCTGTGATCGAGGAATCTGGAAAAGCAAATAAGCTGGTAGAGACGGCTCGAGCTTCATATGTGAAGGAGAGACTCAGAGCCAATCCAGAATTCATGGAAAGGTTGCGTAACAAGACGATGAGAATGAAAAAATCTAATACTTCGCCTGTGTGAGGCAACAGTTTGCAGTTGCAGAGTTTGGGGGGAAAGAAGAAACAGAAAATTCCAGAGTAGGACAGCTTGTGATGATTCTAGTTTTAAATGGTCACCTCAGTTTCCAGAACCGATGCTACTCTCACATGTTTTGGGCTAAAAAATAATTCTTTTTTCTTTTTCTTTGTGAGCATAGAAATATTTTTCTGTTTTTAGTTACTGTAACAAACATTATGTGGTTTTAGAACTCCAGTAACTCCTATCTTCCCCTTCTAGCATCCTGCAATGGGGGGAGACTTGAACCCTTGATATTTTCTTTTGAAAGGAGAGGAGATGCCACTAGATTGTAAGAGGGAAGAGGTATACTACTCATCTTAATCTCTAGATTTGGATGAAGTTTCCTATTACATAATTGTGTTAGAACAACAAAATTCCATTTTGTCAATTGACCTCCAAAAAAGGTTTGAAAATGGTTATCTTCTTGCATTTTCTTAGTCCTATTTACAACTATTTTTTAGTGTTTAATGTTTGGGAGATAAAATAAATCTCAAGCAGATTTATGTAAATCTGAGTGTGAAACTGTGAATCCATATTTTAGTGTTAGCCTGTTAGGATTCATTTTTGATCCAAATTTGAATCGGGTCCTATGGGTATGATCCGATCCTCATAACATAAAATATGCTTGATTCATATTGGATTTCTAGTTGAGATTCATTTGTTTAATGCTTTGCTATTGCTCAGATGTGGATCTAACTTCGCTCATTTCGAAAATTTTATATTCATTATAACTTGCGTCCTTTACTGTACACTCACCGTCGATGGGCCAATAAAAAATGGACATATATTTTTTTAATTATCAAATCAGATAGGATTGATTATTAAATCTGAGACGGTAAAGTACATACTCACTTATCTAAGAGGTGGGTATTCATTTATTATTGGTCTGCATTAACCGTAGTGAGACCTAATTATTGCCCTTTCTTATAAGGACAAGGCTTGCTTACTCACTTGTGAGTAGGTAGGTCATACTTACTCAATGTTGATGTGGTTTAATCTCAAAGGAAAATGATATTATTGACTACTTTAATAATCCGACTTAAACCCAATATAAATAAAATATGACGTTGTTATTCTAAAATTTCAACTTAAATAGGCATTGTTACTAATCTCATTTATTTTCATAAAAAATGTCGCCTTTCCTTTTTTATTTTTCAGTTTTTCATGGCCCATTTCTTTATTTTTTTAGTTTTCCATTTATGATTGTATCATTTTTATTTATTTATTTTTTTCACAACAAGTTTCATGATACTCAAATAAAATAATTTGATTTGTATAAAATGTACAACCAAAATTACAATATATTTACAATTTTTCAATACTTCGCAAAAAAATTTAAATTCCTCTCCTTCTTTTTGTATTCGGGAGTCAGATAGATCATTAGTCTTGATCATTAAAATAATTAACAAATACTTATCAAAGTAATTGATATATATTAATGATTAAAGACACAATGTTTTATATATAACCAGGGAAACACAATCTAATTATATGTATAGGAGATGTCTGAAGTATCTCACGAGTTCTTACAAAGATGTAATATGATGTGTGTGTGTATATATATATATATATATAATAAATACAATTTGATATATATGGTGATTGACACTTTAATTGTCTAATACAGATACTAGATTAAGATTAAGATGAAACCTAAAAAATGGACTACAACTTTATAAATAGTTAATTACCTTATCTTTTAATATGAGTCCCTTTATATTTGACACATAAATAGCGACATAGATTCGGTGGAGTAGTAGATTTTTATTTCTCGGGCTAGATAGCAAGACTTTATCTCAAATGTATAAATAGTTTGTAATTACAAAATCAAGAATGTATAAATAATCTGTAATTATAAAATCAAGAAAGTGATAAATAAGGACTAATAATTTTTTTTGGAATAAATCCAGTCAACCTTTCCTCTAATTTCCTTATTTATCATTTTTTTTTTTTTAAATTTTATAATTGCAGATTATTTGTGATTTGTGATTAGACACCATTAGTAATGAGTGGGAATGACCTACTCACTTGTGAAGTCTTACCCTCATTCTATCAAAGGGCTTTCCTCTTTATAACAATCATATTTTATCCTCACTCTATTGTAGCAATTACCTCTTTATAGCTATCAAAAAGTGTTGTCATTGAAATGCTTATGTAAATTGGATCCTTCCATGCTATTTAATGTAATTTAAATAGCATGGAAATTGACTTATGTCATAAAATTTTCCATAAATTTATTATTGGAATTTTTATGTTGATTTCACAATAATTAATTAACAAAGTTACTGACTGCGTAATCTTGTTTTGCATCTTAATAACAAAGCTTTGTTAGAGTTTGGAACATACAGTGTAAGGATAATAAGACTATACAATAATACAAATTAGAAATTTTCAGAATTCACAATATGAAACATTTTCATTATGTACAACAATTTTATTGCTTTTGTTTAAACATTAAAGAACAGTAGTGAAGGTGGCACCAGAAATTGTGCATATTTAATTTACATGTCTTTCTTTTCTTTCAACGGTCCTTTTGGAATTTTCCCTAGAAAGTTTGAATCAAAGTTCTTGTACATCTTCCTCATCCTTCTGTTGACTCTACCAGCAAAATAGTCAACTTCTTCCTCGTATCGCTCGTACAGAAATGGCAATGTCTCCAAAGACAGAAGACCTTGATATATATATATATATATATAAAGCTTAATTAGTTCAAAGCTTGTGAAGTCTGGTGAATTGAACAGAGTATGCATGGTGAATTCTTACCAAAGAACAGAAGATTCAAGCAGCTGAAATAGTATCCTATCACTGACAGTATCCAAAGAGAAACAATAGCCTGCTAAAATATCAATAATACAGAGGAATTAAAACTCATTTGTGGGATTCAGATTTAAGGTTGGTTCAATTGAGTAAGTAGTGTAACTCTGTAAGAATAAGTGATTTATATATATATATATATATATATATATATATATGTTTATATACCAAAAAGAAGAGTTTTGGATCATTTCCACATGCAACATAGAGGAAACTTGATAAGAAGTGATTGAATTTTGCATGTAAGGTTGAAGAAACATCTCTGAAGGTGGATTCTTTCGAGATCATTTCAGGGATCCTTGGAGTAGTAGTCCTGAAGGTGAACAATATATCATTAATTGTACTTTATAAAAATAAAAATAAATGATGTATTAATTGTAAATATATGCATATATAATTGTGAGCAAAAGAAGAAGATGTGCATGGCTCCGTTTATTTGTGAGGATTACGGAAAACCTAGCAAATATATCATAATTAAGCATGAGTAACTTGAAAGTATCTGAATATTACCAATTGAAGGTATCTGCGCTTTTGAACCAAATGAAGATGACGAGCATTGAAGTAATGAAAAATTGAGAGAGAAGAGTCACCAAATTATATTCCACCACCTCAAAAAGAAACCATATCACTGCAATCCCAACCAGAAGCGTTGCCGATACCTTCTTGTTCCTCCATAACAACACATCCGCAACTGCAAATCAATTACATTTATATATACAACTTATCAGGAGCGATATATCTCATCTTCAAAGATAAGGTTGAGTGTTCGAACCCTGCTAAATGCAACATTGTAATTGGTACGTTCACATTTACTTGAACTTTCCCAAACAATAAGGCACTTGTATTTTTTATTTCATTAGCTCATATAGTAAGTGAAAAAAATATAGCTTAAAAGAACAAAACATGCATATATATATAGTACCTTGTCCTCCTCCAAGAAGAGCATGTATTGGCCTCTGTCGACCAAATAGCTTTGACATTGGTGTGTTATCATCGTCGGAATCTGACAGCAAATTGGGCATGGCTGTACGTCTTGATCGATTACAAGTTTGATATGTTTCATCCTGATATTTGTGATGGAAAGAGAGATATATAATGCATGAGAGTGGGTTCTAAGCTTGGCATCTAAGGAAGTTTGGATAAGAAAAGAAAGGGATGGCTTGGGAATGCCTTTTTGTGGTTGCTTTGTATGCCCGCTATGTAATGTACTACAACATTAAAGAATCAATACAGTTTATAGTTGTAGATGTTATGCTGACAAAATTACTACTGTTTTTTTATTCCAGAGGACAGCTAGTAAAAAGACTGTCATGCCACAGTGCATCAAAAATCTACTAGTCTCATACGGATTAAGGATCAAATCTCTCATAAAATCTTGTTAAGTCCGGAATTATACTTTGCCACTAATGTGATACAAGAATAGAATAATATATCTTTCATTTAGAATTTTAAACATAAGAGCACCAAAGTTAAGATTTTTAGTAGTAAATTACATTGACCTCTCTGGAGGTTTGTAAAAATTACACACCTTAGATTATTTCAGTGTTTATTACATTGACATGCATTTCCTAAACTTGTTCCTGCTCTCTAAAGACTGGAAAGTGGCTTTGTAACGACCCTAACTGATGCCAAAATTTTAAAAATAATTCGGCATGACCTTCGCTAAAAATCGTCCTACAACAACCTGTTTAAAAATATTTTTAACTTGTCCCAACACAATAAACATCTAATACATTTCATGGTGGTATAACCACATACTATATCATCCAGGTATCATAATTACAGTCCCAAAATACATGATTTATATCAAATGTCCATATTTTACAACGTTTAGACAGTTCATACAAAAGTTACAGCCCATAGGTATAATTAAAATATTAAAAGTCCATGAGTCGTCGTACAAAATACATTATGCTTAGTCTTACAAAATAGTGAGGCCCAAGTACAAAAACAACAAAAGAAGCTCCTAATCCATATTAAGTCGGTGGTAGAATGTCATCCACCACTTCTTTTCCGTTTCTTGAAAAAAATATTAAATAAAAGGGGTAAGCGAATTGCTCAGTAGGTGGTGCCTAAGACACACCTCTTGTGTCCCTGTGAATCCAAACAAAGAATAGGGCAATAGGAATTTGGGGTCATGCAAAGCCGGGAAAACACAATATCAATTCTAAGTTCAAAACAAATAAATTTCGTGCCATGAATGCAATGTTATGCATGTCACTCCCCATTTTCAGAAAACATCATCTTTTCACAAATTGTTAATATAACCCGCTCTTTGGTGACTCCGCAGCGACACGAGAGAAGGATTGGCTACTGTCCCTGACCTTTGGTACCTCCGCAGCGTCATTTGGGGTCTAGATAGCTCAACCACGCTAGGACAATCTCCTTAGTTCCCTCTAGGCTATATTAACACACTAGCCCTTTGGTGATTCCGCGGCGACCGGGTTTTTCTCAAAAACCGTTTCATCAAATTCTCCCCAAAAATTCCCTTTTTCATTCTTATCAAAACATTGTACCCTTTTTCTTTATGCTCAATGCTATGGATGTATGTCACATACTTTTACTATTTCAAAAAAAATTAGAGAAAAATTCTACTACACAATTTAGCATGCATCCATATAATAAACACTTAGGCATGACAATTAACATATTAAACATACTTTACAATAATTTTAGGAGAATTTTCATAAACTTTCATGAATAATTTCTAGCAATTTATCAACACAATAATATAGAGAATCCCATAATCAAGTATAATTTTCATACAATTCAACAATTTCACATACTCATATGCTATATATACAAAATCAAGTCATTTAAAAGGCAAATAAATCAAATTGATCATGCTTGACAACAATTATGGTAGAATGACTCACAAAAGCACAAGATAGTGTGAATTAGATACCCCTACCTCTATTACATGCAAAACCCCCAATTTGCACCACAAACCCTCAAAATGGGTCAAGATTTTCGGACTCCTTAGGTTGCTCAAAACTGAAATTGCTGGTACACACGTATAGAGCTCGCCATGTACATGCTCTCCGTTTTGCCACAAACGGCACTCAAAATTACCAAGGGATGAAAGAGAAATCAAGATTTGAAGTTGTAAAAGAAAAAAGAAAATACAGAGAAACAGAGAGGCTGTGAGAGAGAAGAAAGTAGAGAACAAGAAAAAAGAAAAAAACGTGGTCTTATGACCATTTAAAACAATTGTGGGCCCCACCAATTTTTATTTTATTTTCTCATTTTCTTTTGCCTTTAAATTCACTCCACATACACACAATTACATATATGTATATGCATAATACAGGCATTACATTTTCCCCAACTTTAAAAGATTTTGTCCCCGAAATCAAGACATACCTGAGGAAGAAAACAAAGCTGGGTACTTGGAGCAAACCTCCTGTTCGAGCTCCCAAGTAGCCTCCTCGACTCCGTGGTGTCTCCAAAGAACTTTCACCATGGGTATCGTCTTGTTCCTCAGCACCTTCTGTTGTGTGTCAAGGATCTGAATTGGTCCCTCTTCGTAGGAAACATCCTCATTAATGTCCACATCAACCCAACTCAAAATGTGAGATGGATCCGGCTCGTACTTCCGTAACATCGACACATGAAAAACATTGTGAACTCTGTCCATCTGTGGTGGTAAAGCAAGTCTGTAGGCAACCTCTCCTACACAGTCCAAAATCTCAAACGGTCCAATGAATCGTGGCGATAACTTGCCACTCTTCCCGAATCTCATCAACCCCTTCCGCGGAGAAACCCGTAGAAAAACATGGTCTCCCACCTCAAAAGATAGAGGTCGTCTCCCCCTATCTGCATAGCTCTTCTGTCGACTCTGTGCTGTAAGTAGCCTTTGTCTGATCAGCTTAATCTTCTTAGTAGTCTCAAGTATAATGTCGGGTCCTAAGGCGGCTGTCTCGCCCACCTCAATCCAACAAACAAGAGACCTACAAGGTCTACCATACAACGCCTCAAATGGAGCCATCTGGATACTCGCCTGATAACTGTTGTTGTAGGCAAATTCAATGAGTGGAAGGTGATCCTCCCAACTGCCTCCCAAATCAAGTACACATGCCCGTAGCATATCCTCTAAAATCTGGATGGTACGCTCCGACTGGCCGTCTGTCTGTGGATGGAATGTCATACTAAGATGCAACGTTGAACCAAACGCTGCTTAAAGTCCTTTCCAGAACTTCGAAGTGAACTTGGCATCCCTATTTGAGACAATAGTTACTGGAACTCCATGCAACCTTAGAATCTCCTTCACATAAAGCACACCAAGCTTCTCTGCATCATCTGTTGCCTTAATAGGCAAAAAATGAGCCGTCTTGGTCAATCTGTCAATGATGACCCATACGGCTTCATTGCCCCTCCGTGACCTTGGAAGACCTGTCACAAAATCCATGGCAATATGTTCCTATTTCCACTGTGCTACAGGTAATAGTTGTAACAAACCAGTTGGTCTCTGATGCTCGGCCTTCACCTGCTGACAGGTAAGGCACTTAGCCACAAATTGAGCAACATCTTTCTTCATCCCGTTCCACCAATACTGACGTCTCAAATTGTGATACATCTTAGTACCACCTTGATGAACTGCAAAGCGGGAAGTGTGAAACTCCTATAAGACGTCTTCACGACAAACTGTGGGAACCACCAGGAAACCCTTGAACCGTAGACCCCCATCTGCATGCAAGGCCCAATCTTTCACTGTTTCACCACTAGAGATCAAAGCGTGAATGACATCTAAATTTGGGTCTTGTCTCTGTGACTCAATCACTCTTTCAACAAGAGTAGGCTGAGCCACAAGACTAAACAAGAATACCGACTTGTTGTCAACATCATCATCAAAACAATACAATCCCATCTCTGCCAAATCCTTAAGCATCTTCCACTTTCGAATAGCCAAACAGGCCAGAGTCCCACGAGATTTCCGGCTTAAGGCATCTGCTACACATTTGCCTTGCCCGGATGGTACTGCAAGTCAAAATTGTAGTCCTCCAAGAACTCAACCCATCTTCTCTGTCTGTTGTTCAAATCCTTTTGGGAGAAAATGTATTTGAGACTTTTATGATCCGAGTACACCTCGAATCTCTCACCATACAAGTAATGTCTCAAACACTTCAAAGCAAATACGACTGCCGCTAACTCCAAATCATGAGTAGGATAGTTAAGCTCGTAAGTCTTCAACTGTCGGACCCATAAGCCACTACTCTACCATCTTGCATCAACACACATCCCAAACCATCATGTGAAGCATCACAATAAATCACATAACCCAAGCCACGCTCAGGTATCACCAACACTGGAGCTGTAGTCAACTTTGTCTTCAACTCCTGAAAAGATAACTCATAGGCTTCATTCCACGTAAACTTGATCCCTTTCCAGGTCAAACGGGTCATAGGAGCTGCCAAACAGGAGAAATCCTTCACAAATCTCCGATAATAACCCACTAGGCCAAGGAAACTTCGAATCTCAAAAACATTCTTGGGTTGCTCCCAATTTAAAACTGCTTCAAGCTTTGATGAATCTACTGACACTCCACCTTCTGAAACAATATGCCTCAAAAATTTCACCTCCTGTAGCCAAAACTTACATTTCTCATATTTGGCATACAATCGGTGCTCCCACAAAATCTGTAAAATAATACTCAAATGGACCTCATGCTCCTCCCGAGATCGTGAATACATGAGAATGTCATCCGCGAAAACTACCACAAACTGGTCCAAGTAATCGTGAAAGACGCGGTTCATCAAGTCCATGAATGCCGCTGGCGCATTAGTCAAGCCAAAAGGATAACAAGAAACTCATAGTGTCCATATCGTGTACGGAATGCTGTCTTTGGGATATCCTCATCCCTGACCCGTAACTGATAATAGCCTGACCTCAAGTTAATCTTCGAAAAATAACTGGCTCCTCTCAACTGATCAAACAAATCATCTATCCTTGGCAAGGGATACTTGTTCTTGATGGTGGCATGATTCAACTTCCGGTAAACAATGCACAACCTTAAGGAACCATTTTTTTTCTTAGCGAATAAGACCGGTGCGCCCCATGGCGACACACTCGGTCGGATGAAATCTTTCATC